CCCGGAGACTGTTCTATTTACATTTAAGAAACAAATGGAGAGATGCAAAACTGCTGAAAATTCAGTTTAACGAGTTTGACTATTGAGTGCAACAAATATAGGAGAAGTTGGACATAGCTTTCTACTTTTTAAGGTCATTTCTACTTATACAACTAAAATATCATAATGAGCAATGAGGTACATTGTACATCCATACGTTTTTTTTTTCCTTTTTCTGTTTTTTATTTGTAAAAAAAAGTGGCAGTAATCATTCAAAGGGAATGCAGTTCAACAGATTTACCGAGGATATGTTCTTGCACAACATCATTCTATTTATATATATAATCTGTAACGTGTAAAAATAATCCTACTACTGTACAACTAAACCATGACCCTAAAGTACTTCAATCTACTTAATGTAGCAGGATATTAGAGTGGAAATCCCCAATCAAAAGTGATGATAGACGCAAGTTTAGACTTGTAATCTTTATTTTTAATGATTATGGAATTTAAGCAAAGGAAATGGTATAAATTGAAGGACATTTTGGTAGTTTTTACACTCAATCTGGTAAATCGAGATTCAGAGACGAAAAAGGTAGGAACTATTAAAAAGGTAGAGATCTCATAAACATGTTTAACACCGCCGCATTTTTGCGCCTGTCCCAAGTCAGGAGCCTCTAGCCTTTGTTAGTCTTGTATTATTTTTAATTTTAGTTTCTTGTGTACAATTTGGAGTTTAGTATGGCGTTCATTATCACTGAACTAGTATATATATTTGTTTAGGGGCCAGCTGAAGGACGCCTCCGGGTGCGGGAATTTCTCGCTGCATTGAAGACCTGTTGGTGACCTTCTGCTGTTGTCTGTTCTATATTCGGGTTGTTGTCTCTTTGACACATTCCCCATTTCCATTCTCAATTTTATATACTATTATATAAAAATTACAAAATAATCTAAATGCAAAGATATAGTCTATATAAAAATTGTTCTTATATTCATTGTTCGAATTATTCAAATATTCATTTAAACTAATTTCATTCAAGCAAAAAGAAGATCTTTCAAAACAAAGTGCCGTCTCATTAAGCAAATTATATATAATCGTAGGAGTATAAAGGATTGAGATGCATTTTTTTTATCACATGTTTTAGTTCAATAAAATAATTTAGATTCTTTATATATTTTTCAAGTCATGTTAACACAGGGAAATACTTGCTACTGGTCGAATTTGCTGTTACAAAATTTTAGAAATTATTTGAAATTAAGGAATATATCTCCCTCGTACAAAGCTCTGATTCCTAGCCCGATTTTCGCTATACTTTTTTGCTTTACAAGCTCGTCATTTGTTTTTAATAAGCTTAAAATTTTCAATTATTTTGGCCTCGAGCATCACTGAAGAGACATTTACTGTTGAAATGCGCATCTGGTGCAAAAAATGGTACCGTTAATGTTTTTCGAATAACATTCATGCAAAATATAACATTTTTGTAGTTTTGAAACTACAAGTAAAAAACGTGAAGCGAAAAAAACTTGTATTTGTTTTCCATTCTACAGTTGTCCTGTAATAACCAACTAACTTTTTTACTCGCAGCAGCTTCTTAGTAGTAAAATAAATTAGTTCAATTTAAACAACATGTGTTTTTCGGGATATACTTTACTTATTTAAAATCATGTGATCAGCATTATTTGAGAAAATGTAGAAAGCAACTACAAGCACATTGTACATGTATACTCAATAAGCATACATGAATATCTTTATTTCAGTCAAATATATTACCTTTATTGGAAACTTCGTAAGGGACAATCAAAATGAAACTTACACTGGCAGTCTGTGTTGTGTTGATTGGAATGATTTTGGCTGATGATTTAGTACCAAACCTTATAGTGCAGTCAGTAAAGGTAGGCAAATATATGTCCTTGTTAATGAGTATTCTTAAAGTTATTTTGCTCGTTGTGTTGTTATAATGTATATAACAATATTATTCTTTTTAAACAAATAGATTAGGTAATAGTTCCGATTAAGACGTATTTAAGAAAAATCTCTTACATTTTTAACGAAGATTTTGTAGACAGTAAATTTACGGAAATGTAACATAAAACTCATAAGAAAAATAATACGCACAAGATCATGAACGTTGAAATATTGAAATGTTCTTTATTTTGATGGCTTGCATTTTAAAAACCGGATATCAATTTCAACTACGTTATTCCATGAGGATATACTAATATGTTGTAGTTCAAATGCTGTAATTTGTTTTCTTTTCTTTCTAAAATGTAATTGATTACTATGTATTTTGTATTGCAAATATGTTCTGCGGAGCCTTGCTTATCAATGCATTTGTTCTCTTTTGATGATTTAAACGCTTTCTTAAGCTCCTGGTATGATAAGAACTTGCTCTCATCCTCAAAGAAATTGTTGGACATATTTCAAATATAGTCCGATGAACAGAGAACCTAATGCCTTTTTAGCTCACCTGGCCCAAAGGTCCGTCGTCGTTAACTTTTACAAAAATCTTCTCCTCTGAAACTTCTGGGCCAAATTTGACGAAAAAGGTGTCCGTTGACCTGGCCAACCAACCAAGATGGCCACCATGGCTAAGAATAGAACATAGGGGTAAAATGTAGATTTTGGCTTATATCTCTGAAACCAAAGCATTTAGAGCAAATCTGACGGGATAAAAAAGATGAATCGGACAACCCGTTGTTGGGTTGCTCCCCCTGAATTGGTAATTTTAAGGAAATTTTGCCGTTTTTGGTTATTATCTTGAATATTATTATAGATAGAGATAAACTGTAAACAGCAATAATGTTCAGCAAAGTAAGATCTACAAATAAGTCAACCTGATCAAAATGGTCAGTTGACCCCTTAAGGAGTTATTGCCCTTTATAGTCAATTTTTAACCATTTTTCGTAAATTTTTGTAATCTTTTACAAAAATCTTAACCTTTGAAACTACTAAGACAAATTTAACCAAACTTGTCCACAATCATCATTAGGATATCTAGTTTAAAAAATGTGTCCGATGACCTCGCCCGCGTATCAAGATGGCCGACATGGCTAAAAATAGTACATAGGGTAAAATGCAGTTTTTGGCCTATATCTCTAAAACCAAAGCATTTAGAGCAAATCTGATGAAATTAAAATGGTTCATTAGGTCAAGATCTATCTGCCCTGAAATTTTCAGACCAATCAGGCAACCCGTTGTTGGGTTGCTGCCCCTGAATTGGTAATTTTAAGGAAATTTTGCCGTTTTTGGCTATTATCTTGAATTTTATTATAGATAGAGATAAACTGTAAACAGCAATAATATTCAGTAAAGTAAGATCTACAAATAAATCAACTTGACAAAAATGATCAGTTTACCCTTAAGGAGTTATTGCCGTTTATAGTCAATTTTTAACCATTTTTTGTAAATTTTTGTAATCTTTTACAAAAATCTTCTCCTCTGAAACTACTAAGACAAATTTAACCAAACTTGTCCACAATCATCATTAGAGTATTTAGTTTAAAAAATGTGTCCGATGACCCCGCCCAGGAACCTAGATGGCCGACATGGCTAAAAAATAGTACATAGGGTAAAATGCAGTTTTTGGCTTATATCTCTGAAACCAAAGCATTAAGAGCAAATCTGATGAGGATAAAATTGTTCATTAGGTCAAGATCTATCTGCCCTGAAATTTGCAGACCAATCAGGCAACACGTTGTATGGTTGCTGCCCCTAAAATTGGTAATTTTAAGAAAATTTTGCAGCTTTTGGTTATTATCTTGAATATTATTATAGATAGAGATAAACTGTAAACAGCAATAATGTACAGCAAAGTTAGATCTACAAATAAGTCAACATGACCAAAATTGTCAATTGACCCCTTAAGGAGTTATTGCCCTTTATAGTCAATTTTTTACAATTTTCATAAATTTTGTAAATTTTTGTAAATTTTTACAAAATATTTTCCACTGTAACTACCGGGCCAAGTTCATTATAGATAGAGATAATAGTAAGGAGCAAGAATGTTCAGTAAAGTAAGATCTACAAACGCATCACCATCACCAAAACACAATTTTGTCATGAATCCATCTGTGTTCTTTGTTTAATATGCACATAGACCAAGGTGAGCGACACAGGCTCTTTAGAGCCTCTAGTTTTTTGTTGTGTAAAGATATAAACACGGTTTATTTCTTAGCATCGTATACAAATATAAACGAGAGGCGAAAGGTACCAAAGGGACATTCAAGCTCGTAAGTCGAAAATAAACTGACAACATCATGGCTAGAAAAGAAAAAAACAACAGACAAACAATAGTACACACAACACAACATAGAAAACTAAAGACTGGGCAACTTGAACCCCACCAAAAACTGGGGGTGATCTCAGATGCTCCGGAAGGGTAAAAATATATAATTTATACTAATCTATTTTAGATGATGCATCAGAATCGCAGTAAAAGGTCTATAAAACCAAGCATGGAGGATTCGGTGAAGATGGCATTTAGCATGACAGACAAAAACCACGATGGTCATATAACAGTGGATGAATTGATACAATTTGTTAAGAAAACCACCGGGATAACCATTGATAAGACAACCAGACGAGGCTTCAATATGGTGTTTGGGAATCCCACATATGACCTCAATGAAAATGGGACTATTGAATTAAATGGTATGTATGCATTTCCACTGACATGTTTTATCAAGGAAATAATACTTCTACTACTATTACTGTACTGCTATAACTTCTACTTCTACTACTACTATTACTACTACAACTATTTCTCGTGTCACCAGTAAACATGCATTTTCGATGAGACTTGAATTTTTTTTTAAGTCGCTTCCAGGCAAAACAATACAGATTTAACTTGTTGTTTCATGAATAGTTTAGACCATATGATTGTATTAAACTAAATAGCATATTTGATATTATGCGTGAATTCACATATTGAACAATGGTATATTGTTTGCTGTTTTTTGTAACATTCTGTGATAATCAAATGTCTTTAACGCAAAGCTATAATTTTCCAGTTATGTACAGGTATACATGAATACTATATTTTATGTGTTCTTAGAAATTACTTTTTTTTCTTCAGAATATGCTGGACTTATGAGAATGGGAATGGGAATGGGAAAATAAAACGACAAAATATATCAACCTGTGAAGACTGGAACTGTACAACTTCAATTATAACCAAACTGATAATTATATTGTCTTAAATTCTTTAAGGAATTTCTCCTTATGTAACTTGCTATAAATAAAAGATAGCTATATCTAATATAAGTCTTAGTTACATCAATTTATAGATGGTATGATTGCTAATGGGACATTTCTTCACAAGAGACCAAATGACTTAGAAGTTCACAACCTTATAGGTCACTTTTCCGCCTTCAACAATGAGCAAAATCCATACCGCATAGGCAATGAAAAGTGTCGATACCGTCGTTGTATATACTTGAAATTGCTTTTGTATTTCATTGCCTATTTATACGACCGCAAAAATTTACGGCCGTAAGTAGTAGAGAAAGGCTGATTCTTCCACAACTCAAAATTTTTTAACAATTTTAACATTTTAAAAATTTTGAAAAAAAATTTGAATAGGAGTAAGAGTTGATTTTTTAACACTTTTAACATTTTGAAAAATGGTGTAAAAATTTTAAATAGGAGTAAGAGTTGAATTTTAAAGTAGTAATATAAAATTGAAACAAATAACTATAAACACTTGAGTACTATAGTATTATATTATGATGGCTTCTTTTGATAATGACTTTATGAGTATTAGTGATTTGGAAGAGAAGGTACAAGAACAAAATGAAGAAATGTTGAAATGGAAGAACCTTCCAACTAGTGTATGGTATAAAATTATTGAAGTTACAGAAGTAGATGGTAAATTTGGTAAGAGTCGTATATTAAGTGTAAAAACAAGTGAAGGGTGTGGACATGTAGTGGGTTAAATAAAGAGAAGGATAGTTTGGAAGGGGCCTATGTAAGAAGTACAGCTGAGGGTTTAAAATAAGTAAGAAATCTAAAAAAAGAGTATTTTTCTTACGATTTGGTTAAAAAGTAAAAATCTCTTACTCCTAGTTAACAACAATTCAAATTCCTACTTTCACTTTAACACCTAGTTAAAAAAAAACCTCTCCATTTAATTTTTAATCTAGCTAAACACTAAATTAAAAATTATATCGTGGTGTCGAATTGGTAGTAGCGCTAAGGTTCATACCTCAACGTCATAATCAGTCGAGGCAAATAGGAAATACCATAATATTATGAAATTTCATAATTTTATTGATATATTGTATCAAAGTGGAGTTGTCTTTCTTAGACGCCTAGTGTCAAAATGGACATGGGAGATAACAACTTTTGTCTTAAACGAAGTCGAAAGGAAGACAACTCATTATTATAAAAAGTTAACATTTAAAATATGAATTTGTATAACAATTTAGGAACTTATTAAATTGGTTTCGAACTATGGGTTTTATTATACACAAGGAGTAACTCTAGATAAATCAAACTTGACTAAAGATTATTTAAAATCTAGTGTAATGCACTAGAAAGAATCATTATATTTATTACTATTTTATCAGTCTCCGACATAGCAAATCATGCATGTGGAGGTCAATTGCGAATTTATTTACAGTTTATTTATTATGTAAACAAATTAAAGACCGTAAAATCATGCAAAATCACAGAAAAATATTTCTAAAAAAAACACTGTAAAATATGTTTGAAAATCTAACAACGGGAGATAAACAAACAATCGAATTCCTCACAAAAACTGATAACTATGACAATAATTATATTACGTTCTGTCAATAGCCTGTGTACAAATAAGCATAGACATTTATGCGATTGATGCGGATCTGACATTACAACATTAACAATCTACAAAGCTGAAAAGTAATTCTTTGCATCATAGCAAATTATTAATGTCCAAATGATGGACATTGGCTATCTGATAAAGAAAATAAATTCACTAAAAGCTTAAAAACAAACAGCAAAATGTCCATAATATTTTATATATACGTAGAATTCTGAGTTGAGGTGAATTAATTGTAACAAAGAATATTTATACCTTTAATCTTTTTTAATTGCACATGCTCATGGAGATAAAACACATTTGGCAAATAACCTATTGTTATTTGGAAAGAAACTACTCAGCATAAATTGATCGATGGCAATTTGTTCACCATGGTTCCAGTTGAATGTCAAACTATTTGTACATTTAAATGCGTATTATGTGCATATTTCTACGTAAATTTGTCAGATATTTCTATATGACAGAAGTGATTGTATACAAATGCTTAAGTTAAAGCAAGATAAAACTGAAAAGTATTGATTCAAAACAGTTACATCAGTTAAAAACAGAGCATAAGTAAGGTCATGAAGTCTCCTCACGGCAATCCCACCTCAAGATATTCACGTATTGATGACTTCTGACCAGGCAAAATAAATTATCTTAGTCAAAGTGATATTTCAAGCTAATTAAAATTAAAAAAAAATCAGAACAAGATCTGAGATAATCAGTACTGTTATTGTAGTGGGGTGGGTGGCTAGGGGGGGGGGGTCGTTTTCTGTCGATTACGAGTAGAGCATGGCATCATTTGGATCAGATACTTTGGTAACGGGTATCTTAAATTAAAATGATTTTCATATTTTGATTTCATTCATTAGAATTTAAGTTAGAGAATTTAATAATTCGCAGTCATTTAAGATAAAAATAAAAAAAACACAATATTAAAAAAGTGTTCCAACAAGAAGGGAAAAAAAAAGACGAATGCGTATGAACAAGGGACCCATATCTTATTCGTCCTTCATATGCATATTTGTGGTTCTGCAACACAATGGAGTAAACATTTGAAGGCGTTAAATACATTAACCTTTGCAGAAATAGTCACATGATATGAATCATATTACAATTTATAATGTGAAATGTAAATAATTTGGAATACAATTTTCTTCGGTTCACATCTGTGTTTGTTGGTAATCTTATCTAAGGGCACCTGCTGGGAGAGATGTACTTCCTGATAATTTAACAAAATATATAAATAACCAGTGACACAGTTCCAGGCTTACTGCTAGTGCAGTTTTATAGAATAGTATAATAATCTACATTGGAAAAGATTGAAAGAAATTAGATTTGAAGGTATACATGAATTGCATAACATGACTCGTAGGGTTTTATTTGAAATGTAAATACCGTGCATTTTTCAAAGTAATAACTTGTCCACACACAATGTTTATAAGTTTGTATACAGTTTGCAGATTCAGATTAAATAAAAAAAAAGTATCGCCACTAGAATAACATAAAATATTCAAATACACGTATAAAGCAGAGCTATAGTGAATAAATTAATAATAATAATTGATCAATGAAATCATAGAATGATTTGAAGATAAAATATTAATTCGACTGCAAACCAACAAATCAAACAACACAATACACAATAGAGTTTTAACACCATCCAATAGGAAGTTTCAATAGATTTAGAAAGATTAGATAAATGCTCATCTAAATATTTCCAGCTGAAGATTAAAAACATAATATAGTTATTACTCAGTATCCCGATCTGAAGTTGAATGCAAAAAAAAAAAACCATACGTGTCAAGTAAGACGTATCAAAACACTGTTCCTTAATACTAACTACATGTCTGCACTTAATCTCATTTATAATCTTATTTATTAGTTACTAATGAATTGTCAATGAAGGAAAACGTGTTCCTAATCATTTAACTATTTAACAAACTTTACCATCTCTCTCATGCCTATGTTCTTCTGGAATTTTTGTTAAACCTATTGACAATAAACAAACAAAGGCGCCATTACCTTTAAACGTTTCTTAAGCTGCCTAAATTTAACTATTTTCCATCCATGTACTACATATGCGTTCATACACTTTGACCGTATATGTATAAAACTTATACAGTCATTCATGATTTGGTTAATACAGTTTATTTTGACTGATTTCGATTTACGATATGAAAATAAGAAGATATGGTTTGAAACAGATACCAAATGACGTAGAAGTTACAACTATAGGTTACCGTAAGGCCTTCAACAATGAGCAAAACCAATAGTGCATAGTAAGTTACACATTGCCCCGAAACGACAAATATAAAACAGTTCAAACGAGAAAACTAACGGCCTTAAGTTGGGGTTACACATTCACGATTTTTACTGCCGTCCTTGACAGAATCATTCCCGATTAAGATTTGTCAAACGTCTGATCAAGATTCTGTGAATCGGGGCTGGAAATTGAAACTTTAATTAAAATTTGTAAAAACATATATTGAATCATAACAATCAGATATTGTTCAGAAAGCGTCCAAGTTCGGCCGTTTCCAGCCGAATTTGTCCCGATTATACGGTTTTAAATCAGTATTAATCCGATTTATATCTCTCACATGGTAAAGAACGACATAATATGTCCCGACAGCATCCCGATTATACCGAATGTGATCCGACATAGTTCAGAGAGTGACCAGACAGTGAACCGACGCTGACGGAAGATATATATCCGTGGGTATTATTGCCAAATTTCGTATTAATAACGGGACTGATCCGGAACGGTTTTGGCAAAGACTGTTCGCATTAGGCAAGATCTTATTGCAATCTGGACTCAATCGGCAAAAAACAGCAATGACACATTTCTCCAGATCATGTCCGTTCAACAGGACACCGTCCAGAAAACACAGAACATAATAACGATTGTTACGATTTCGATCCGATACAGCAGAAACTGTCACGACATAGTTACGATTGTAATCCGATTATAGATAATATCAGTTGAGTCTTCCCGAATGTTACGGAACTCACCTAACTGTCGGGTGTTTAGCTAACCTCTGCGGACCTACATATTAATTCATGACCTTCACATGCTATTCATGTAATGTTTGCAATAATTCACTAATCCATCATTTCAATAAGCGGATCTGTGTTTAGTATATATAATTTAAAAGTATGTGATATGTCTTGTCTAGTCTTGTCTTGTCTTTCAGTTTAAGCTGGGGTCACACATTTACGATTTTTAATGCCGTCCTTAACAGGACCATTCCCGATTAAAATTTTGGTCAAAAGTCTGATCAAAATCCTTTGAATCGTGGATGGAAATTCTAAACTTAAATTAAAATTTGTAAAAAAAAATATATTTAAACACGACAACAATCAGATATTATTCAGGAAGCGTCGATATTCAACCGTTTCCAAGCGAATTTGTCCCGACAATCCCGTTCTCAATCCGATTCTAATCTGATTTTTATCATTCGCATGGTAGAAAAGGACC